GCATTCCACCACTGACTAAGTTTGCTTGTCACCTCGCACTGATGTGCTGCTACAGAGCCAACCCCACATTTCTCACCAGCTAAGGTGGCTTTTTAATCACATCCAAGTCCACTACATACTTATCTTAAGAAGTTTCTTGGAACTGGTCGTGGTGGTGCACACCTGTACTTCCAGCACTAGGAAGACTGAGGTACGCGAAACCACTCATCAGAATTGAGGGAGAGTCCCGAACATTCAAGATTGCATAGACTCTGAAAAAAAAAAAAATGTAATTTTATTTTCTCCATCCCATGACACCTCCTCCTGATGTCCCCAGTTGCCTTCTCTGGCCCCCAGCTTCTAAGGGTGGACCTGGACTGCTTCCTCTCTCTCTCTCTCTCTCTCTCTCTCTCATACACACACACACACACACACACACACACACACACACACACAGAGGCATGCATACACATGCATGCACATGAGCCCAGGCTGTGAAGTCCCCACCCACTCTGTGTCCCCACGGCCTCTGACAGAGGAATGAGTTGTGACTCACATGCATGTCATGAGAACCAGGACTGGAATGAGTCTCCAGGCCCCAGAACAGGGGCTGCCTGTCTTCATCCCTGGCCAGAACTGCCCCTTCTCCATGACACTTCCCATTCCTCGCTGTGGCCTGGGCGGGCTCAGTGGCTGCCCTTGGCTAGGCCTACAGCTCTTCTCCAGTTGGTAATGGAGCCACAGTTTCTGAGAGGGAGGGGGACAGGAGGGATTGGGTAGTGGTGGAGGGAGGCCAGGCTCTGTGGAGATCAGGTTAGGGCAGGTTTGACTTCCTGAAAATGCTAAGTTTGGGACCGTGGGCTGGCATATAAATCCTCACCCCGGGTGCCTGGCCACTTGCTCCCCTCCAGAGTTTCTCTGCCACCTGGTCTGGTGAGTAGCTCTATTCTGCTGTAGACCTGGGTCTCTGTCTTCATCTTTGTGGCACAGCTTCTTGGTGGGATCAACTTGGAGCCTCTCTGGGTCTTTCCCCTTTTGGGGAACCCTATGTAAAGTGTTAGATTGAGAGGTCCTTTTCTAGGTTCTCCTGGGATGCCTCAGTTTGGGAATTACCCTGAGATTCTGTCTTGGGTCTCTTGGTCTGAAGTCCTTCAATTTGGGAATCTCAATCTAGGGCCCTTCTTTAGGGGTCTAGGTCTAGGAGTGGGTGATAAAATGTGAGGGGTGCTTTTTATGAGAATCATGAGTTTGGTTTTGCCTTTGGTTTTTGCAGAGTCCTGCATTCTGTCAGGATAAGACAAGAGGCAGGGTCTCAAGCATGTGGCCTTGCTTGGGTCTTGGCTTTAAGTAGCAGCTCTGTGGTTCCCAGGGCTTTCCTTGCCTCCAGCACAGTTCCTGTAGCCTCACCCTGGGACTTGTCTAACCTTTCCAGGCTGGTGCCATCATTCTCAGTGGCAGGGCCATGGAAAAGATGACCTCTGAGGTCATTTTTGTGTTCCCAGATTCCACCCTGATCCCAAGGCATTGGACATTTAATCTCTTCAGTTTTTATCCCAACAGGATCCTTACAAGTGGGGAGGGTGTTTAGTTGCCCCCACCCTCCCCATGGCTTGTCTGCATAAAGGCAGCACTGTACTCAGGGTCTCCAGTAACAGAGCACATCCTCCGCCCTCTGAGAGCCCCCAGCCTGAGAGAAGAAACATCTTGGCCCAAGGCAGCTTCCAGTTGGCAGGTTTAGAGAGACACTGGCTTTTGTACCCCTATTCCGTGGAGGGAAGGACTCCTTCAGGGAGATTCATACTTCTGGGCTGTAGCCCTGTCCGCTGCCAGACTGTGCAGGGAGCCCTACTAGTTCACCTGTGGACACACCCATGCTCCCCATGCTTGGCTCCGATGGGAGTCAAATTGGGATGCTGGTCACCTTGTCATTTTCCTTTCCATGGACACTCAGTGGAGAGCCCTGCTCTTGGAGGTGTGTCTGGAGTTTTGGAAGAGACAGTAGGCCCTGCCCTTGGTAACTCCCAGCCACAGGGAAGGTTTAGCATGGTCCTTAGTGAGGAGGGGTGGTGTGGCAGTTCAGGGTACGAGGAAGAAATAGGTCCTGCAGACTTGGCTGAGATCCCAAGTGTTTTGGCAGTGTCTCCATCCCTGCCGTCTTTGAAGCCTCAGATCCAAGATGTCTAGTCCCCTGGAGCAGGCGCTGGAGGTGTTGGTCTCTACCTTCCACAAGTATTCCAGCAAAGAGGGTGACAAGTTCAAGCTGAACAAGGCAGAAATGAAGGAACTTCTACAAAAGGAGCTGCCCAGCTTTGTGGGGGTGAGTGGGGTAGGCCAGGGATGGGAAGGTCATGTGGGAGAGGGTTATTTTCTCTCCTCCACTCCTGAGAGGAGAGGTGAGTGGCCCAAAATCATACAGCTTGCCTGTGTGTTACCCTCTCCTCTTATTTTCCATTTTTATATGCCAAATTAAGAAAGTTTACAGGGAGAAATAAGACATGCACACCAAAACATTTTGCAGAGAGATGCAATCAGTTCTCAATTTGTCCTTTGCCTTTCCTGTACTGACTAATTGGTAATCCTTTTTGTTTTGAACATATAAAGCAGGTCTTTCTTTCTTTCTTTTTTTTTTTTTTTTTGAAGTACTGGGGTTTGAACTTAGGGCCTACACCTTGAGCCACTCCACCAAGCCACTTTCCTTTTTGCATTTGGTGTTTGGTGAAACTTTTTTTTTGCAGTACTGAAGCTTGAACTCATGACCTACACCTTGAGCCACTCCACCAGTCCTATTTTTGTGAAGGGTTTTTCGAAATAGGGTCTCTCAAACTATTTGCCCAGGCTGGCTTTGAACCTTGATCCTCCTGATCTTTGTCTCCTGAGTAACTGGGATTACAGATGTGAGCCACTGGTGCCCGGCTTTTGGTTAAACTTTTCTAATCATTTTGGTTGGTATTAAAAAGAGTTTTCCCTCTCTGAATTCACCCTGCTGATGATGGAGCAGTAAGCCGGTTTTCTCTTCAGCAAAACAGTCATGATTCCTACCTTGCTGGGCTCCAGTAGGGATCAGAGCTGATACATGCTTCAGCAGGGTTTGCTGGAGTCTGTCACTATCATATACCTGTCTTCATTCACTGGGCCCTCTTGGTAGCTCCTTTTACCTGACTGCCCAGTGGGGAGGCTGAGCTGGGCACTGATGTGTGTGTGTGTGTATGGTCTGGGTGTGGGTTTGGTGTAGAGGTGGGCAGAGGGTCAGTTTGGTGATACTTCCATTCCCTGTTATCTTCAGGAGAAAGTGGATGAGGAGGGACTGAAGAAGCTGATGGGCAACCTCGATGAGAACAGTGACCAGCAGGTGGACTTCCAGGAGTACGCTATTTTTCTGGCCCTTGTCACTATGATGTGCAATGACTTCTTCCAGAGTTCCTCAGACCAGTCCTGAAATAGAGCTCTTGACTTCCTGCCACAAATCTCCTGGGCCCAGGAGGGCTCTCCATCCTTTTACATTTTATACTCAATAAACTATTTTTGTTTGTGGACAACATTGTAATTGCTCAGTGATGCCCTATAACTGGATGGCTCAAAGTGCTGGAAACTGAGGGCCTCAGGGATCCTACCTCCTTGTGTACCCTGACTCTCCTGGAATCTCCTTAAGGCCAGAGAAGTCTTAGGTCCAGTCTTTGGGATTTCAGACACACAAAAAAATATGAGGAATTGAGATAGGTTGGTAACATTTTATTTTGCTAAAAAAGATATTATTAAAAAGGCAAACACAATCTATCACTATAATCATTTCATAAAAAGAAAAACATTCAATTGCAACAAAGAAGAAAGGGTATAATCTCAGAATGAAGGTCAAACCTTAACATCGAATCCTGCGAGCAACGAATCCTGCTACTAGGAGTTGCTCAGGAGACATCAATTAGTCTACCCAATGCTGTGAAGCTTCATTTTATGGACTCCTTGTCAGATCACAGGCCTTAGACAGTGTACTTGTTTTTAGAAGAGCTGTATTTATTTTTACATCTACTTTCAGATTGGCTGGCTCTATTTTGAGTTCATTCCTCCCCAGCGGATCTCTTCTAAAAGGAGATAGTTCATGCCAAAATTCTTGTTTTTCTATCATTTCCCCTAAAACTGTAGCATAGGTAGCCTTATATTCTTGCATCCTAAGGTATATCAGGTGACAATTTGACCAGATGTTTTGCTGTGTCATAACAAGGGTCACCAACTTTCCAGTCTATGAATGCTAGGTCCTCCTATTTTATTTTTTCTTATCTTCATCCAATTTCACGTCTTGGGTTCTTTTCTTGATAGATCCCAGTTGTAGTTACCAAATTCCCTACCAGTTAGGAATGTGTTTAGTTGATTACAGAAGGCCTGACAGCTTAAATACATTGGTACTTCAATGCCTCGTCTAGTAAGAAGTCTGCACAGGCAGTTCAGATTTGGTTTAGTGGTTCAGGGATGCTCTGTTGGGTACCTGTTGCATATTGAACCACCTCCATGTGTGGTGGCTTAAAACATACATTTGTTATCTCTCATGGTTCTGTGTAGATGAGCCTCACTTGGGGTGTTTCAGATGGAAGTTGGAGTTAGAATCACTTGATATTAACACCCAAGGGTGCTCACTAAGCTTGCTTGCCAATTGATGCTGGTTGTTAGCTGGGAGCTCAGCTGGAACCATCGGCCTCTCTATGGGGCTTGGGCTCCTCAGAGCCTGGCAATTGGCTTTAGAGAGGACTTATCCTAAAGTGAGTATTGCAAGGTGGCTTCAAGGCTTCTTAAGATTTGTTTCAGAAATTCCAGGCCATCAAGTAAGTCATCGAGGCTGGCTCAGATCTAAGGGGAGAGAGTTAGACATCTCCTAGTGTGAGGAGCAGTATGAAGGAAACTGGCCATTTTTGAAGAGTCTACACCAGAGTCTGTTTCCTCACAACTGCAGTTTACATCCTGCCTATAAGTAAAATACACTCACCTCCTTTCCAAGACCCATAAAGTCTGAGCCCATTAAGGCATCAACTTGAAGTCTGGGGTCTTATAATCTAAGTCAGGTCCAGGGATGAATGAGACTTCTTGGGTATAGTTCTTTCAGTACAGCTCCTCGAGAGTGGTTTCTCTTGGTTAGAAGACCCATGAAGATACATTCACTGTTTGAATGGCCTCAGGCTGGCCTTGAGCCTCAATCCTCCTGATCTTGTCTCCTAAGTAGCTGGGATTACAGGCAAGTACTACCATGCCTGACCTCATCAATAATCTTCTTAAAGTTCTTCCAGTCACTGACCCAAAGCTAGTGACACTTGTTTTACTTTTTGGTACTAGCAACATCCTACTCTTATAGGTCTTTGGTGGAATATATAAGAATCCAGGTCATGCTTTTTCTATCACTTCCTCTATCATGACATTAGGTTTCCATTTGCTCTATATCCCAGGGGACAGTTTAGCCAAAATTTTTTTTTTATTTCATAACAAGGTTTCTCAACTTCCCAGCCTGCACATATTGGGTCTTCCTATGTCACCGCCGCACTTCCTCTACTTTGCCAGTTCCGCATTTTGTATTCTTTTACATGAGGACTCCACTTTTAGATATTAAATTCCTTACTCATTAGGGATTTATTTAGTTGTACGTTGTAGCAAACCTGACCAATGATAATGACTGTCTTACTCAAGAAGGTCTGGAGTAGGTACTTTGGGGTTGGTTTAGGGGCCCAGAGATGTCATCTGAGATGCAGTGTCTTTCCATTGTTTGCTCTTTGATATATACCATGTTCATTTTCCGCCTGGTGCTTGTTGCTTCATGATCATAGGATGGCTGCTATGCCTCCATGTCTCACTGTTCGTGTTCCAGGCTGGAAGACAGAGCAAGGGTGAGGGTGCAAAAAGCTTGTTCCCTCAGGAGACTTTGCCATTTTATTATGGTATAAGTGCTCTCCCCAGAGTCTTCACCTACATCTTTTGGGCTCTGTGATATGACTAGTCATAGCTGTAACCAAGTGTTTTTTAGCTGGGCATGTTGACACCTTGAAAAAAATGGATCTTAATAATAAAGAGGGGAGGGACAGTGGGCAAGCGATAGTCAACACTTTTTTTGTGGTACTGGAATTTGGACTCAGGGCCCCACTCTTGGTAGGCAGGCACTCTATCACTTGAGCCACTCCACCAGCGCTTTTTTGTATTGGGTATTTCCTTTCTTTTATTATTATTATTTTAATATTAGGATATAGTTGTACAGGGGGATTCAAAGTGACAGTTCCAAATAAGCTTATATTGTACATTGGTTAGATCATCCCCACCGACTCTCCCTCTCAAACTCTTTTCCCCTCCCCCGACTTAAAGCAGTTCTGTTTTGTACAAGTATATGAAGTCCATCAACCATATACCCTCACCTTAATCTCCTTCATTCCCCCTCCCCCTCCCACAAACACCCCCCCACTATATCTATTTTATAGTCATGTCTTTTGTTATTAATATTTGAGTCAATGTTCAAAGGGTTTTTTCAATGTATCCCAGCTATGAGTATACTTTACTTTGGTCTGTTCAACCCCTTCCATTACTCTCCCTTACCCCTTTACTTCCCACCCTCCCATTTTTTAACAGCTTTCAATACATATCCTTATATCCTCTACCTTCGCAGATACCATGTTTTATGATGAAAATATGGAATGCTTAACAAATTTGCATGTCATCCTTGCACAGGGGCCATGCTAATCTTCTCTGTATCTTTCCAATTTTAGTATATATGCTGCTGAAGTGAGCACTTGTTTTGAGTATTTTCAAGATAGGGTCTCATGAACTATTTGTCCTGGCTGGCTTTGAACTGCGATCCTTCTGATCTCTCCCTCCTGAGTAGCTAGGATTACAGGTGTGAGCCACTGGGGCCTGGCTTAGGCAACGCTTTTCTGGATTGTTTTCTTGTTTTTCTTCCTTCCCTGGAAACTCTGATGCTTGGAGTTGCTTGCAAAATGACTCAGCCAGAGCTATCCGGAGGTGGAAAGGAGCAGGGTGAGAAGGCATTGAGCCACACCCCCCATCCTTCTTACTGCTCTGCCTTCACTGCACATGTGCAGCTGCGAGGCAAGGTCTGGCAGTCCCTCAGGGACAAATGGTCTCTTTTCTGGCAGTAAAAAGAGAGGAGCCCACTTTCTTGATACCCTGTAGGAAAAAGAGCTGGTAAATATAGGTCAGGGAATCATGATGATGGTAATTAAAATCCTAGGCAGCTCTCCAAACTCCTTTTGTGCACACTGTCATTTCCACCTCATGATAACCTCACAGGAGCCGTCATTAGACCCCTTTTACAGATGGGGAAACTGAGAGTAGGCAGCTTCAGCACACTCAGATGCTCTGCTAGGCCTACACAAGCACCATCTCATTTAATCCTCCCAGAAACTGGACATGACGTGTGTTATTAGTTTCTGTACACTGCAGATGAGAGAATAGAGGCCACGAGAGGTTAAAGAGACTAGTGTCAGGACTTGTGCCACATTTGTAAGAAAAGTCCTCATCCCAACAGGACACTGGAGTGCCAGTCTGGGCTTCCTCCTTTTCACGAAGACATCTGCAGGACCTTGGGCTTTGCAGGAGCAGAAGGGAGGTGGGCCGAGGAGCCCAGATGCTCTTGGCTTCCACCCTGAGTCACTGGGGAACCGGGCCCACTTGCTGGTGGTTCTGTCAGGGCAACTTGATTTCTTTTGGGCCTCAGGCTCACAATGGGTCCTGGCTTCTCAGGTCTGGATCTGTGGCTGTTCCAACTGGTGGAGATCAGCCCCAGCTGGCTGCTTCTGGAGTTGGCCCCAGATGAGGAGGTTGCAAAGGGGGCTAATCTCTCTTCCTTTTGCTCTTTGGCAGATGAACACCAGACTTTCCTAGCTAGTTTCTCATCTCCTTTTTTCACCCCTTTCCCCAAATCTCTGTACTGAGATTGAGGAAGGTCTGAAAATAGCACTGTTCAAGGATCTCTGGCTAGGTTCTCTCCCTATCTTTCTGGAACTTCTGCTGGGAAGACAGCTCCAGGACTCTCACCTCCTGTCATGTCCTAATGTCACTTTGGCCTTGGCTCCTTTGGGTCAACCCCTGGCAACCCAATAACCCTCCAAGAAAAGGGAGACTGGCTTGTGTCTGGTGGCTCATGCCTATAATCCTTTTTGGGAGGTTAAGATGGGGAAGACTGTGGTTTCAAGCCAGCCCAGGCAGGCTGTTCAGGAGTTCTCATCTCCAAAATAACCAGAACAAAATGGACTATAGGTGTGGCTCAAGCAGTAGAGAACCTGCTTTGCAAGGATGAAGCCCTGAGTTCAAACTCCAGGAAAAAAAAAGGCAAAGAAAAGGGAGACTGAAGACGAAGATGGGTTTGTTACCAAACCTAAGTCCATTTATTTAACCACTCAAAAAAAAAAAAAAGGCCCAATGAATTGAGGACAAGTTGTTGGGGCAAGGAGAATGATTTACTTGAAATGCCAGCAAAATGAGATGGTAGACTACAGCCCTGGAACAAAAAACATCTTAACTCATTCCAGGTTTCAAGCTCCTCTTATCCTTA